AGAACCATAATTCAAAATTGATGCCTGGTCTAAGACCTATAATTCAAAATGGATGCCTGGTATAAGACCCATAATTCAAAATGGATGCCTGGTCTAAGACCTATAATTCAAAATTGATGCCTGGTCTAAGACCTATAATTCAAAATGGATGCCTGGTCTAAGACGCATAATTCAAAATGGATGTCTGGTCTAAGAACCATAATTCAAAATGGATGCCTGGTCTAAGACCTATAATTCAAAATGGATGCCTGGTATAAGACCCATAATTCAAAATTGATGCCTGGTCTAAGACACATAATTCAAAATGGATGCCTGGCCTAAGAACCATAATTCAAAATGGATGCCTGGTATAAGACCCATAATTCAAAATGGATGCCTGGTCTAAAACCCATAATTCAAAATGAATGTCCTACCTATGGCCCACACTTTAAACTGCAAGTTTGACTCATTTGTTCACTAGATAGTGTTTATTTGATAAAAGTTTAAAATACTTACCTCAAATAGCTTATGGTCTAACAGCCAGAATCCCTCTAACAATTTTATCATTCCCAATGGCAGGGAAAATGATTTTGGGAATGCTTGGTCAATAAACTGAAAACAAGAAGAAATGTACATGTACAATGTTTTGAAAATAAAAGTCTGCAACATAATCACATTTCCTGTATTTTTATTTCCACTGAAAACGAATGTAATTACTTTTTTAATTCAAAACTTGATTTTTACTCTGTGTGCCAGGTCAAAGTTACAAACTGTTTTAAAATGCAAATTTTAAGTGGACAAGTACTTGCATTTTACCAGAGACCATATTCAATATTTCGAGCTACATGGTACGGCATTGTGATTATATTGCTATGATAATTGCAAAATATTGCAACTGAATGCAATATCATAGCAACAACCGGATCACACAAGCACCTGCAGATCTAAACTTAAGGTTCCCCCCAAAGTCAAATTTATATATCAAAGTGAGTGAATTTCTGTCAGTAGCTTTGGCCTCCTCATTGAGTCTGTGACACACTCACTTTAGTGGGTTGATACCTTTGATTTCAACTGTGGGACCTATTGATCATGGGTCTAGCACAAAAAACCGCTATGCTACTTACTTTTTCTTGTTGCGGATGACCATTCATATCAAGAAGCAGATATGTAACGATACAGTGCTTCATCATGGGGTCAACACCCTCCAGTAAATATATATCCAACAAACCCTGTAATAAAGTCATCATTGCAAATTATAGTTAGTCATTTAATTTGTTACTTTCCCAATTGATCATGGTAAAGTTTTTAAGGTGCACTGCATACACTGCATAGAAAACAGGAACAGTACAGTTTTTTTTTTCAATCCGACCAACATTTAAACTCATTGGCTAATGTAATCTCTGAAGAAAAGTTGTTCTTTTGAATAGCTATGGACCAAAAAATAATTGATAACAAACAATTCAAGATGGCATTTTAATTTTAAGTGCCAATCAAAACCATAATAGCGTATTACCACCTGATAAGATCCCATATCATGTCAAGCAAGTTTAGAGTGTTTTAAATCATGTGACAAAAGCACTTTCTGGCAGCGGTGTCATAGCGTTTATTATATTTACAAACTATATTTTGTAATGATTTCGCAAAAAAAGCAAAATCTAGTTAATATTGACAAATCATTGGATTCTTTTGTATTTTATTTTTACTGAAATTCTTTTTGAAAATGAAATTATATTTCACACTCTGGAGAAAATATTTTCATTGGTAAACTAGGTGGTGGGTACTCACATGTAC